CTTCCTGGAACTCACAAGGCTTCATGGTCCAGCCCATCATTTTTCGAACGACTTTAGGCACAGCCAAAGGTGGTCATGATGCCCGTTACAATATGGATGTCACATGGATCATGCCAGTGGTGTTCTGATGACAATGACGATCCCAATTTGTTGCGGGTTTCAGGGGATTCTGAATCACTTTTTGGTACCTGAACATTGTAGACCCTCTTTTGAAGATTACCAGTCATGTTAGCTATGGATCTGGAGACGGATCGCGACCAGGTGGGCGGCCCGCAGAAGGACGGCTTATGCATTAGAAGGTTACCTGTCTGTCCTTCTGAAAATTCAGGAATGGGGTAGAGCTTGATTTTGAGGGATATCGCAGAGATGCGTTCGGGACATGGATGTTTCAAGCTGACGTGCCCTTTTTTGGCTCGTGCCTTTTTTTAACGTTGCGAGTGGGACCACCCTTTGCATGCACCAAGTCGTTCGGTCCTCAAGCCTTGACTGTGGGGAAGGATCTGACTTGCTCCCATCTCGTCTGCGACGAATTGACGGCTGAAGGTGCCAAATGATGCTGGCCAAGATATATGCAGACGGAGCTGACAGTAGCAGCAGTATGAAACAAAGATGGCAGGCATGATACAGTGAAGCCGCATGTTGGTTGGCTTCATGCGTTGTCAGCTAAGAAACAGGATTTTGTCCCTGGCAACTGTGTGAAACAGGTTTGCTGCAGGTTTGCACTAGAAAGTTGACAGGTAATCCTAATATTTTTTGTAATAATATGATTCTATTATTATGATTATCAATATTATTAGGCTTTCGAGTTTTGTTGGTTTTATTAGTAGAAGGGGAAGTGTGCTCTTGCTACTGCCACGCACTACTCTGCCTTCAGGTTCGCAACATGTTTGACGACAAATGTGAAATGCACATTCCTTGGTGTAAAAAGGATTGGAACCCCTCGGCGCAAAGGTCGATTCCAGATTGCTTCAATCAGGACTAACTGCAGTCCATAGAATGTGAGCTATACTCTACACTTTTTAAAGAGGGGGTTTTATAGGGGATCATATGGAGGACTAGTATAGGGGTTTTAAGGGGGATGCTAGGAGTAGACTATGGCTCAAACTTTTGCGGTCAATCTTTCATACAACCTCCAACGCTCGCGTGATCCAACCCCATGCTCTCCATAAACTCCTACATACCCTCTGCTGACCTGAACCTGAGTGCCTGGCTATGTACCCATTGGGATAATACTAGGGCTATATTGGGGTTATGTTGGGATAATGGAAAATAAAATGGAAACTATACTAGGTAATCTGGAAATGACCATCCCTATTTGAGCACGTGGTCCCTGAGATGAGATTCCCAACAGTTTGGGCTCAGGGTTTATGGAGGAACTTTGAAGTAAGAAAGCCGAACACCTTAAATAGTAGTTTAAGATTTCAGTATCCATTTTCTTACCGCTTATTTTTCATGATGACCTTTTATTGGGGGAGGTTGAAGGGGACCTCAATTTGGGAGAATGGTCAGGTGCTTTGGAGATGGTTCTTTGTGGGCCTGCAGAAAGAGTCCAGAATTTCTGGCAGGCCCGTACAGCTCTGAAATCCCTAGCATATTCCGGACAGCTATCATTGGGGTTAGCTGGGCTTAATGCATTGTTGTTGCTCTTGGAGCTCTTTCGGAAAAAACTGAAAATAGATGTTTGTAGCGTGCTAGGAAGGAAGAAGTATCCTTGCCAGCAACAGCACGATTCAGAACTCTTCTTGTTCTCCTCAATATCTTGTTGCCTCTTACCTTCATGTCTGCTATTGGTCCGTACTCGATCTGGAGCAGCAGAAATTTTCGGAGTCACCTTCTTCCCAGCCATGGTTTGTGCCAACTATTACCCAATATTACCCCAATAATGGAGAATCAAATGGAAAAGAAAATGGAAAATGAAATGGAAACCCTAGGTCCCTTTAAAGGGGTATTCTCAAGCTTGAGAGCCGCTTCATTGTCAAGATAATCCGTTTACGGCGATTGATCCCCATGTACAACTACTAATACTTTATTAACTACCCTATAATCCCAGTTTCCATTTCATTTCCATTTTCTTTTCCATTTGATTCTCCAGTATTGGGTAATATCCCTATACCCTATATACCCCTTTAAAGGGACCTAGGGTTTCCATTTTATTTTCCATTTTCTTTTCCATGTGATTCTCCATTATTGGGGTAATATTGGGTAATAGCTCAATACCTTTGGCATGCATCACAAAAGTCCTGAGATGGAGATAAGCATCGTCATTATTGCCAAGCTGGTTGTCCTTTGGGATCTTTTTCAGTTCCCCCTATCATTTTGTACAGAACCAGAATGGTAAATAGCTTTTTCTGGAGTTTAAAGGACAGCCCAGCAAGATCATCAAGAGCAGATCGCCGTTTGTTGTTTGCTAGACTGCGCATCCTGAGGGAGGTTCCAAAGAAAAAGCGTCCCTGTATGCCCCATTCAGGACCATAAATTGAAGTCATCTACCCCTAGTTTAAGTTTCCTTGAGAGGCGTTCAACACTCCAAGCAAGTATACGATAGTCCGCAGCCCAAGTTGGAGTATAAGTTGGAGTATGATGATCTTCTCCTTTTAGTTGTGGTGTTTCCTAGTAAAGAGGCTGGTCTTACATGTTCAACCACCACTACATGCATGTGTTGTTCCAGAAGCAGGTGTCCCCCCTGTATATCTTCAACATATTACGAGTCTCATTCTACTCAACATATTACAGCTCTCATTATACATGTTGTGCAAGAGACCCAAAGAGTAGCGCCCACCCCATTTTTGAATAGTACAATTCCAAATGCAGTTTTCTTTGAAACAAAACCCTTTGATGATTTGGAAGCTCCACAAAAGGGATGCCTTAGGAGGACCCCCCCCCCCCACCTTGTAATAGTGGTACAATAAGAAGATAAGAGGACCCAAATACAATCCCCATTAACCCTTATAGTCACTATTACTGGGTGGGGGGTCCACCTGAACCCTAAACCCTAAATAGTAGCTTCCATTTTCTTTTCCATTATCCTTATATATCCCCTATATATCCCCTATATAACCCTAAGGGATGCCAGGCAGTTGAGCTGCACCTTGGCTTCTTCACAGTCAAGGGCCCGGCAGTTTCCATGCACATGCATGGTATTAGAATTCGTAGAAGTATTAGTAGTTGTACCAGCAGTAGAACTGTAATTAGATAGTCATAGTCATGGTCATAGTAATGGTCGTGTGTTGGAGAGTGCAAGTAGCATGCTTCGGGTAGATTTTTATTTTCGTCATTTCGTGCGTAACAGCAGGATTACCCACTGCTTCCTGCGATGAGGTCAACCCTGAAGCTCGGACTGCGAATGCGCAGGTACCTTATCCAGCTACATGGCTGCATTGGCGATGACTTGAAATGCCCTTGCCCTGTCCCGAAACTCGTGCTGCAGTGGCTGGGAACCTTTCTACACAAGACAGACGTCGGAGGTAGTACGGCTCGCTCCCTGAATGACATCTGCCCCGAAGCTACATAGCACGACTGCGTCGCTACTGCTTTCAGTATGCATGTTTCCATGCCTTGTGAAAGTAAAAACCTGCTGCGCATCAGAGCTTCGCATTTCTGCTCGCAGCACGTCAGCAGACCTCTTCTTGAAAGCAGTCAGATGGTGCTTCGCAGCTGATCAACACAGCGGTGTCTGTTCCCTCCGCTTCCTCTGGGGATCGGGGAGTCGATGTTCTGGATACAGGCGCTACTACAGTGAGATATCCTTATTTCCAAGCAGAGCAGAGAGCTTTATCCTGCCAAGGTCTTCATCTGCTCGAAAGGTCGTGCTTGCCTGAGCTTTTCTAGCTTTGTTAGTGTGGCTAGCTTTAAGAGCATTGGTTGTGCCATTCCAAATGCAACAGCCATTCATGGGCAGCAGAAGAGTTTCTCAAAACTGAGGGTTCCTGATGACGCCAGACAGACACAAGGATTTGACTGGAACCAGAGCCCCCCGAAAAGAACCGGAGTGGTGAGAAACTTCCACATCAGGGGCCTCCACCGCGTTGCTGGAGTGGCGTGCGACGCACTGCCTGGGCCAGATGCCGCTTGGGCCTGATTCTGGCCGGAGACTCTCTAGGTTCTGTAGTCGAAAGGAGGAATTGTGAGGCAGGATATTATCTTCCCTTTTCTCTGCACAAGATACTTCAGCTCCGGCAGCGTTGAATGGCAACAGTCCAGAGGTGTCTACACCAGCTCCTGCTGCTAGAGCACATTCAAGGGGGGTCCAGTCAAAATCATTTGCTGCAAGGCAGACGCCTGGAATCTGGAGGTCTATGCAAGTCTTGAATCACAACCTGTATATGTTGGGTACAGCATTCCTGTAGACTGCTGCGATTGCATTTCCTAAGCTCTTGTAGATGGCTGCAGAAGTCTGGATCCCGAGCTGAAGTCACTGGATGCTGAGGTCCACCGACACAGGCCTTGCTGTCAAGTCATTTTGGTTCAGCTATAGACGCGCATGCAGCACCTGTATGCTAGACAAATCAAGCGAAGATGCATTACTTGCAGCTCTGTCTTCTATTTTCAGCATCTGCCAGCCGTGTTCGACCAGCGTTCGTTCTTGACGCCCGCCGCCGTATTTAGGGCCATCTCACGAGACACTGATTGGTGGAAAGCCACATCCCGCTGGCGGGTTACGCGTGATTGAGCCTTTCGGCAAGAATTCTGGTGTTTCTCCGCTAGAGCTCTGTGTGGTGGATTTGTTCACGCGAGCTTCTTTCAGAAAATGAAGAGAGCTCATCATGAGCCCCTCGTCAAGGGGTGGTTTGCTAAGTCTGTTCGAGGTGTGTTAGGTCGACACCCTCCATTGCTATGATTACTCCATTTTCACCACTTGTCAGAGGAATTGCCACAGGTATCATGCCATTGCTTATGAGAGTGGCAAGTATGTTATATTGTTTCATCGGTATGCGACTTTATTTTCCTCACAGCATCATGCATCTTTAGTTTTCCTCAGAGCACTCACTGAGGAGTCAGCCATGGACAAGTACCGAAAGGTGATGAAGCCCAAGGTGCAGTTGCTGATGCAGATTGGTGTCTTCTCAATCCCGCCTCCCTCTGTTGTGAATACGTATTTCCAGCAGGCATTTTTGTATTACAGGGGCAGGGTTTTATGATGTTCAGGTTGTATGACTGGGCACGAAAGGAAGGGATCTCTGCCTTTCCCTGATTTGTGAATGGAGGGAGGTGGATGGACTCGTACGCAAGCTCACCTGCCGGAAGGAGGACATCCAGAAGACTGACGAGGAGATCCGCGTGACTGCTGCTGGCAGTGTGTCTGTGCTCCCGGCTGTGTTTCAGCTTCCGAGACAACTCTCCAGAGCCAAATGAGGGGGTTGTTGTGTTTGGTCTCTGCCTGGCCTGATTCCAGGGGGAATATTAGGGTTATATTGGGATTATGTAGGGATAATGGAAAATTGGATGGAACTTACTTACTATTTAGGTACTATTTAGGCAGAGCAGTCATTTCTGTGCCTAGACTGCGAGCTTGACAGGCGTACGTGTCACGTGCGGCCACCGTTTTCAATGAGCTCCAGAAGCCCTTTGTGTCATGCTCAGAGGGTAGAAGTGCAGTTTAGGGTTTAGGGTTTAGGGTTCAGGGTTTAGGGTTTAGGGTTCAGGGTTTAGGGTTTAGGGTTTAGGGTTGGATCCACGGCCTGTCTAGGAAACTGGTGCAAGACTATGTTTCCTTTGTACACCTTATTCATTTGCTGCACAAACACACCACATGTCTATTCTCGTTCTCTAGGCCCCTGTGGCTCTTGTAGTGTTTGTACATGTACTACCATCTTCTCATGGCCATTCGAATTTTCAAGTTATAGAGTGCTTACAGAAACCCTACAACTTCCGCAGAAGCATGAAAATCCAACAAAATCCCCTAAATCCTAGATGGATCCATATAGAATCCAATAGTTTCCAGATGGACCCCATAGAACCCTCAAATCTATAACCCTAAACCCTGACCCTAAACACCAAACCCCAAACCCTAAACCCCAAACCCTAAACCCTAACCCCATGTCCTGAGGTGATTGTTCAGGCCACCGGCAATGCCTTGACCAAAGCAGTGACCGCTGCAGAGGCCGTGCTTTGAACTAGGTGATTTTTAATTAGAGTTTAGGGTTTAGGGGAGGTGATTTTTAAATTAGTTGCCTCCCTCAAGTAAGAACTTGCCACCCCTTGAGTAACAAGTATTTCCCTTCTAACATATGGTGGGCGGGGGGAGGTTTCATCGTTAATGGGATGAGAGTATAAAAGCCCAATAAGGAAGATTTAGATATAGTAGTTTATTTTATCACAAGACAAGAAGGGTCATTGTTGAATGCACTTTTTAAGGCTCGGTATTAGCCCAATAAGGCAGATTAAACTACAATAGTGTGTTCGTAGCCCAGAAGGGTCATTGTTTGAACACATTACTTGAAGTTTATTTCTAGGGAAGATTGGCTATGGTAGCCTAGTTGCTGAATACCTCGAGTAATATTGTGCTATCAACCCAACAAGGAAGATTTTAAGCTGTAGAAGTAGAGTTGTATCCCAAGAAGGGCTACTGTTGAATACATTGTTTAAAGATTTCTTGTGAACCTCACTGTGTCCAAAGAAGGAGCCAGCCCTGGGAGCGTTTAGGGTTATTGTTTGAGCTGTTAGGATAATCCCTAAAACCCATGTAAGCCCAGTTTCCATTTCATTTTCAATTTTCTTTTCGCTTTGATTATCCATTAGTTGGAGGTTCTTTGGATCTGAGGGCTTTTGGGAACTGTAGGATCTAGATTTGTCGGTCCAGGTTTTAGGGTCTAGATTTTTCGGGTGGGCTTGTCAAGCATGGCTGCCTGTTGGGGTTTCCTTTAAAATCGCAGCTATAACATGCTGGCCGGCCAGAAGAGGGCCGTTGATTTCGGTGCCTATCTAGTCTAAAGTGATCTGGGAAACTATCCTGTCATTTTCGACTAGTCTAGAGCACAATGTAGGAGTTCAAGCTGATGTTGCTCACGCAGGGTGTTTTGCTCAAGGTCCCTCATGTAATCCTAACAGGGTTCCCCAACCATAACCCTCCCCATATTCCCCTAGATGATCCCCGGTCCCCAAAGCATCCCATTGTGAGAAAACCTCCCATAGTTTGCTCTAAATTGCTGGGTTCCTTCAAGAAACAAGCTCTAGTTTGAATGACCAGGTCATCAAACGCCGTTTCAAGGGCCTGCACCAAATCACCGAGCTGAAAACAGCCTGCAAGCTCAGCATGGGCGGGTTCACCAAGGATGAAGGATCACTATCATATATTGGGGTTATATAG